CTTTCCATCACGCTAACTATCTCACATTAATCGCCAGTTAATTCACTCCTGTTAAAAATGAATGGAGACAGGAGCCAAGATCTGACTTAGCAGTGGCTGGGTGGACACCCCATTGACACACATCAGGATGTGCACAGTGTAAAATGGCGTTTTCCAAATGTTTGCTGTTATTTCCAATTTAGCTATTTTCAGCTGCGCTCAGTCCTAGCTCCTTCTTGAGCTGGCTGCTACTTAGGGCTTCTTTCCGCAAGGCCTCCTCCCATCCTTCCAGCAATGATCCCGATGAGTACTCATGAGCCCCCCCCCGGCCTGTTTGTCCTTGTTAGTCAGCAAAACTGTTTCATATCTTTAAACAACGTGATAAAGAGCATGATCTCATCATAGGCGGCAGCAATATAAGGTAGTAATAAGAAATGGACTAGAAAACCCTCATATAGTTTTCATGGAGCATCCAACATATAGTGGCAACTTTTAACAACTGGTGCTGCAAACTGTATTCCCCTAACCATCTCTATATCCCGATGTATTGCAGTGCTAATTAAACAATTCGTTGTTATTCAGTAACATTTTTTGTCAACTTTTGTGGACTGGACTTTATATGGCCGTCTTACAAAGCCTACCAAATGACATCATCAGGAATACATTATGCGTTGCTCTTTCAGTTAGCTTCTACACTAAATGGAATTAGTTTGAATGGCTTCTGCTGTAATTAGTAGTGGGGAGGAAGGATGGTGCAGTGGCAAAGGTTGTAGCCTAGAGTCTGCCCAGCAACTGCTATCCCATGCAACCTGGAATAAGTCACTTAGTCTCCCTCTATGGGACCTATGTTTGTCATTGGTTCCTCAAAATTACTTGTGATCTGGAGTTCCTCTAACACCATTGACACTAATGTGGTGTTGGCACGGGGGACGTGGAGTGAATGAGTGTATTGGAAAGTGTTTTTCCTCAAAGATGTACCTTGGGGAAAGTCAGTTTATCTACATAAAAATAGGGGTAATGACACTAATTTATTACATAGAGTTCTTTTGAGGGGAACAAAACACCATGTGGGACCAGGTCTGCAGCCTTTACTAATGCGAGCCCTCAGTAGATTTACCTTTACATGGTAGGCAGAACTAGAGTGAGACACAATTGCCTTTGTTCTTTTTCCTTTCCTGTCTTGGTTCATTTTTGAGCTACAAAATATTTTTCCAGACTTTGAGCTTATTTATTTGACTACTTGTGTTCTTTCCCTTGTCCAATGAGATTTTTCCCCTTGCTGGAGAGTGGTTTGGATAGCTGTTAATGGCAGCCAGCCATTCTGGTGGTCTCAGTAATGTGTTGTGCTTTGCGTATTCCTTTTAGAGACATAATCTCTGCAGTAATCTGCCTTTCCACCTCTGTTGTGGTTTTCTTTTGGTCATCTGTTGCTTCAGGTTTGAGTTCATGACAGCGCTATAACAGTGTGTTTTCCTGGCTGGAAGACAGCTATTCTTTTGCTAGTGTTTGCTATATGCTAGTTTACTCCTCTCTACATTTCTTTGTTTGATCATTACATTGAGTGACTTAAGCATGCATTGTGTTTTATGCACGTTGCGAGGTCTGGGGGTGCCTATACACGTGCTCTGATGCGTTCTGCTTAGAACATGTCGGAGCAGACTCTATCAAGTCTGCTGGACAGCGTTTCCTCTAAGTCGAGTGATGGGTGCGGCTGCGCCCATGGGCTCATGCCGCGCTGCCAGGTGTGCCTGTGCACGCCACGCAGCTTAGCGGGAACGCTGCTGCTGGAGCGTTCAAACCGGAATCTCATGTATTCAGCGTCTCGCACATTTGAAAATGGTGGTGGGAGCACTTTCACTGAGGCTCAGCAAGCAGCCTTTTATGTTGTTTAAACGCAGATGCCAGGAGAAGTCTCTTGCGTAGGCAAAGGTGCTAGGGACACGCAAATGCATCTAGCAAGTGGCTTTGTGCACTTGGAAAAAGTTTTTAAATTCAGGAGAAGAATCTGAAGTCTTTAATGAGGATTGCTTATGAGAGATCCCTGTATGTAATGTGAGTTTGTTAGTTCCCCTTGTCCTTTGGAGTGTTCTGTAATTTGTCTTGGAATTACGTCGAACAGAGAAGAGCCCGATCAAAAAATAAGCGCTCGATTCACAAGTGAGTTTGCAGGTCAAACCTGCTTTTGTAGTCAGCTTAACCCTAACTCTTTTATCTCCCAATTTTGAGGATCTGAGCACCAGGATGGTATGTTACACACTTAAAGGAGCTTTCCTCCAGCTGTTATCCATAGTCTTTCCCTCGCATCCCATCCCCAGTTCTTCTCTAAGTGGAACTTGATTTCTCATCCCTGACGATTGTTCCGTAGTGGTCTGGTCCTGGGGGGGAAGGTTGGTGGGTCCCGCACTTTGGCCTGAGCACTGCTGGGTGTGTGTCAAATTTGTTCTCCTCCAGTAAGACACCCAAAGCCTGGGCCTGCATGCTGAGAAATCTGTGCCGCTTGTACATGAGAATCTTAGCTGGAGAGGAGCTGGAACAAGACCAGATTTCAGACCCCATAAACAGAAATGTTGAATCCAAGCCATTTAGGGTTGTCCAATTTTAAGGGTATGGAATTTGGGTCCAGCTCTGTAACTTCCAGCCTGGTTAATTTATGTAAATTTATGTCTTGAAAGACACTATTACAACAATTTAATGTAATCTTCTGTAATGCATAATGCAGGTGGTAATGTTCCAGCTCCAAATCCTTGCACTGACATCACCTGTGGTTGAATTAGGACCTATATTTTGGAAACCACCCAGTCATGATAACTTTATCTTTGCAACTCCCCCCTCCCCCCCCCGCACCATTTCCCCTCCTTACCAAAAGCAAGAAGCAAAGAAAGGCAACAAGTGCAGAGGCAAGATGTTTATATGTGCAGGATGTAAGGCTCTAGGAGAAGAGAGAAGAGCGCTCTGAAAAGCTTGTTTTCTCTTTATAAGCTTTATGCACTTTAATGCATCTCTTCCTTATCCCTTGTTTTCTGCCCTCCAATAGTTCACATATTCTTTCTTTCATCAATAAGGAAAATATCATCTCTTCTGCTGAGCTTCTTTGGAATCGGTGTCTGCATCTGTTGGAAACCCTCTTAAAAATGGAATATATGGTTTGGTATTTTGGACAGATATACATGAGAAATGAGTGTCCTGTCTCCTCCAGAATTTTGTGGTTTCTCAATTGATTTTAGATATGTGCTGTGCCTACTGTGGTTGCTTTGTTGCCTATTTGGAAATAATCCTCCCATCCGACCACTGTCTGTGACCCCAGGCTCTCCCGCTGGAACATGAGAAATGTGGTGAGGAATGGAGGAGGATGGTCATTTTCAGACTATCTATCATTCTAGTTTATCATCATTGAAGCATTCCAGTAAGTTAAACTAATTTACATTGCAGTGTTTTGGCTGATCAGCTGCAAACACAACATATTCACCCTATGGGTTGGTAATGGGTAATGGCCAGGTTTCCACAAGAGTTACTCTTTGGTACAAGCTGAAGTAGTTGCCAATGTACCGGGAAAGAGAAGAGGTGAAATTTTACACCTTGTCATTGTCCCAAAATACACATTTGATCATTTTTGAAGGAAATCTGCATCTGGAAGGCAGCTGTGAAACTGCATGTAAACATACTGTCCTGTAAATGTATCTGGGACTCATCTGTACTGGTGATGCTGGTCTGAATGACCCAAAAGGAAAATGGTATTATGTGACTGGTGAGAAGACAATGAATCATCTTTGTAACATGCAGCGTGTCAGCTGGAAATGTTGCTCTTGGTTTGTTCTGAAATGCTGAACTCGGAGAGGTATTATTAGCCTATAGGGAGAAATCTGTTTGTTTTCCAGTTGTCATGTATACGATTAGTTTTCTTTAATCCAACATTTGCTGTCCTGCTTGGACCTACCTACCTGTGATTTCATTACCAGACATTTGGGATGGAAAGCATTACCACATGATGTCCTTCTGCTAGGTATCCTCTGAGTTTCTATTAAAATGAATTTTCCTTTTTCTGTCGGAAGCTAGTGTTGAATTTCACGGTCTGCCCCCACAGTGGAGTTGTCTTGTTGCAAAACAAAGGGATCCACAAAAGTCACGCTTGGTTTGGCCTGCATGTGGATTCGGCCAGAGTACAATATACTTTGATTTGAGAGCCTCCTTTAGCCTCATCTGAATTAAGAGCGTGGCCGACGCTCTCTACTTAATGGAGGGTTCCAGTAAATATTTTAAATGGAACAAAAACCTTTCCTAGAAACACGCATGCACATTAAGGTCTTGTTCCAAAGTCATCCAGAGCCAATGGAAAGATCCACCAGATTGGTTTCATTAATGGGTTTTATTTGAATATGTATGCGTATGGATGTCCGTAGACATAGTAAGTCTATAAACATAGTATTCCATAGACATAATAAGTCTATTTCCTTTCCAGTTGTCTGTCCACCGGGAACCTACTTCCAGAACGGCAAATGCACTCCATGTCCTCACGGGTCCTATCAGTCGCAGACTGGAAGTCTCTCCTGCATCAAGTGTCCCTCGGGCAAAACTACTGTCTCCACTGGAGCTTTCACAGCTGATCACTGTAAGTGCTACAACCATTCGACTGAAGACTGACTTTTTGTACCTGTTGCGAGCCTTGAAAGCAGTAGTTTTCAATGTTTTAAGTCAGGGCCACCTTGCGTAACATTTTTGTATTTGGCAGCCCCCCCCAAGTTGAAAAACCACTGTTTGTGTTGCCTCAACTGACCTCACTGCTTCTCAACCCAGGCATAGTCACTTGTGGCATCCCCACCACCAGGTAAAAATGCCCCACATGCATTGTGCGCAGCCCACACTTGATTAAGGCCTATGTGATAAGCCTAAGACAGGGAGAGACAGCTCTTCCTGGTCCAGCGCCATATATGCCTCCTGGAAACAGAGATGCAAGGCAGTTTTATCTGACCGTGGAGGCAGCATGGCAACCTGGAAATAGATGTCTTTGCTGCTAGTGTGGTTGCCCTGTGAAACTGTCCCTCGTGCCTCTGTTTCCAGGAGGTATATGTGGGACTGGAGTGGATAGGGCTGCAGCAGGAGCTGGTGTTCTTGCCTGCATTAGGGTTATTAGATGAACCCAATGAGGCAGGCGTGCCGGTTCTGCTGCAGTTGCTTCCCAGTTCAACACGTGTGGGGAAGTTGGACCTAGTGGCACCAGCATTTATCCCCAGGCTGCCCCTGCCACCATGGTATGAAACTGCTCTATGTACCTTGGTTTTCTGGAGGCGTATTGGATAGGTGCCAACTTTTATTTTTCCCTGGCGGCAGGGTCAAAAATACTTTCCAAGTAGTGATAAAATCGGCTTTACTCCCAGACACATGTGAGGGTGGAAAAACTTCACAGAGATTTTTCAGAGGAGTCTGGTATTAGATTGGCCTCCTAGATGAACCACATGCTCAAAACCTTCTCTCTCAAAAGAGTCTATAGATATAGGAAGTGGGGTGTTTAATCCATTCATCGTTTTGTGTAATACTGTTACCTCGGAGCATAACTCCTTTATATCCAGCCATCAGTTCATTCAAAATTTTGGCTATCCAAGAGGTGACTTGCAGGTCTTGACATGAATGCACAGTGCTTTCCAACTTAGTGGGCACATCTACACGTTCATTAATGTGCCTTAGATACTACACATTTAGTTTAGTACTTCCTTAATAAAGTATTAACTAAATGCGCAGTACCTAAAGTTACTGCGCAGTAGCACCGACGCAGTTATTTAGTGATGCTTACTGTGCATTAGCCTTATAACACTGTGCAATAGGCGATTAGCACTGTTTTTGCCGTGAAACACAACTGCGCAATGTTATTAGGCTAATGTGCAGTAAGTATCTTGTGTAGATGCACCCACTGAGTTTTATAATAATGAAAAAAAAGGATTTTAGATATGGATCTACTTTCCCATAGTACAGTGGGCCAGAGCAAAACTAATACACTGTTTAACACCTACTTATGCTATTTTCAGAGGCCTCTGCAGGCCAACAGGTGACTTATACTCTGCATGCATTTGGATTTCTTCTCTCTTCCTGATAGATTTTTCTGCTAGCAGTGTTGTTTCTTAAAAAGTGTTGACAATTCACTTAGCTGGGGGCCAAGTGAAGAGTGAGATCTTGACTGTCATTTTATATTTCGCTGTGGAGTGGACAGGACATTTTAATCCTTAAAATTTCCAATTAGCTCTTGGAAAAGCACTTTCAACCAAAAACAAAGTTCTTTACAGTTGAAGAGCAGCAAATGAGGGCTTGTTTCTTCAAGAGCAAGGGGAAAATAGCAGCAGCAGATTGGTTTAGTGGATCTTATTGTTCCTTACTGCTGCTACTTCCATTAGCATTTCAGTAATACAACATTACAAGGCCTCATTGGACTAGGTACTGCACGTACATTTATGAAAACAGAGTTCCTTTTATGAGGAATTCTCCCCTTTTTGTTGAAAGACCTTACGGGAACCAGAAATCCATCACATACAGATGGTAAGTTCTGGATAGAGACCATTTTTTATCCTTTTTTTGGCCAAAGCACTTGACATAATGGAGTCATGAGCCCTGACGGGAACTTCTAGGCATTTCAGTAATACAAATAACAATAATATGTCATAATAATTTAAAATCTCAGGGCTTCAGTTAAGAAATGCCATCTGTTCAATGCATGTGAGAGCCCCCCTTCCAGGCAGAAAAGGCTCTATTTCATTCTAGAAGGTCTTTGTCAAGCACATGCACTGGAAGCAAGTGATACAGTAATCCAACTCTTTTCTTTCCATTGACTTGGGACAGGCATCACAGATTGTCAGCAGAACAGGCAGAGTTTACAGTGTGATGAAGAGGGCCAGTATAGACCTTCCCAGCAAGATCCCATCACTAAGAAATCATTCTGTGTTGACAATCTTGGAACGAGGCTGGGCTGGACTGAAACAGATGACCTGCTTACAGATTCTCAATGCCTAGGTAGGCATAAAAAATAATTGCACATGCTTGATCCCATGCTGGTGGCACTTCATTACATAAAGACTGATGTTTAACAATAGATAGGTCTGCGAAGCTGCAGGAATTCACTTTCCAGTAATGCTTAACTTTTCCTTACTCCACATTCTTCCTTGCTACATTGAAGAAAGGATTTGCTGAAAAGAGAGGTTGATAATGCACTCTTGGAAATAGGTTATATGCACTCTTGGGTAATTTGACACCTTTTTTCTATGTTCCAGCTTTGTTCTCAGTGGAGTCATTGCAGTATACGGTAAGGACTAGCAAGAAGGGTGCATAGAGACGGGCTCCATAATATAAGAAATACTCATAGAGATGACCAGAAACTACTGTGATTAACAAATGAATCTATGGTCACTGCTTAGCAACATATTTTGTGCTTGCATTATGTAGTACCTTAGTCTGTAAGTAGCTCAATGTAGGTTGGGGATCCCGACTCCAGCGTGAATAAGCTTTTAACCTGTAATGATCTAACCTGTGACGTTAAACAGCAAGAAATTAAAAAAAAAAATGTTTAAAAAGCTCATTGCAACTGATGGTTAAGTGCCTGGACACTAATTTACTGCTGCAGCAGCCAGAGCAGTGGAACAGGAATCTCATACATGAATGAAGGAAAACAGATGGGTAGGAGGCAATCCATTAAAAAAATCTGCAAACAGGATGGGAAAAAGAAGGTATACAACAAGCTAATTGCAGCATATGCAAGCAGATTTTAATGACTACAGGAAATCAACCATCAAACCATCCAGAACATGCTTGCAGAGAGTTGGGAAAGCTTCTACCTCCCCCTCATCCAAAGCTGTTGTTTAACCCTGTAATTCAGTTGGGGTAGGGCTTCATTATGTCATCAGAATACAGTGGGGATCTCTGCTTAAAAAGTGGCAGCATAGCATCATTGACCATTGATGGGGCAGTGTATTTTGAGAGAGGTCTTGCATGCAGTGTCAGACTATGATGAGTGAAGGAACTGACAGGACAGTCTACAGAGATGGAGTTGTGTGCATGGAGGTTTTCTGGTCACAGGATAAGCTATACCAGGGACTTGAACAGGAAATATTGGCCTCCCTCTTCTTGGTGTTTGGGGCATTTCTCTTTACCCAGAAAGAAAGGCTGATTTTCTTTTTTTTTAATGTGCAAGCCTTGCACATACTTAGACAGGGATCTAGGTGTTGTTACTGCAGATCTTCAAACTCCAGCCAGGAGGGGTCAGTAACCAATATGAAGAACAGTCCCCATGCAATACCACTACAAGAAATCTTTCTGTTTTCATTTCAAAGTCTTGACATTTCAAAATAGAAATAAATCCTTAAAAATATCAAGATCATTTTCACAAAAACAGTTCAACAGAACTATTTGAAATTTCAACAGTATTTTAAATGTTAAGAAATTTTGAAGTAAAGAAAAAAAGAAGAAATACATATAGCGCTACTTATTTTTTCCTCCCTCACCAGTTTTTCTAACTATACCAGCATGTGTTGTTACAACAGAAGCTGTGCAAATCACAGAAGTTGGTATCCAAATCCTCCTTCTCCAAAAGCACTGATTCTTTTCATTTGAATGAACGATAATCTGTTGCTATCAAGATAGGACCTGTAATGCACAGTTCAGTACTGTAGTTATGTTTTCATTCAGTGTCATTCATTCACTGATCAACTTCTTTAAAAGCAGGGTTTTTTGAATACTTTTGGACTAAAATATCTTTTCGAGCAGAACAAATTTTCCTTTTTTTTAACGTTTCTAGGAAAAAAAGTAAGTACATTTATTTGAAAAATTTGGGAAGTAGATGGTAAGTTTTAAAGAGGGGTGTATGTATATGCATGTGTACATCAGTTTTTCTCTCAATATTTTACTTTTCCTTTCTTAGGCAGGGAAAGAAAATGGAGAACTCTTCTTAAGAGTTCAATTTAAAACTAAAATGTAACTGGATAAAAAAGTTCATTTAATTTTTTATAAGCAAAATGTTTCTTTCCTTTTTTCATGAAAAGAGCTGTCTGTCTCTCTCTGCATCTTCCCTGATCTGGAGGGACCTACTCTTGGAGGGAGAACTTACCTCCCCTCTTTTTAGCCAGGCCAGGTTACAACACTTATTTAGCCTGTCTCTTTGAATAGACATCATTTGACTATTATATTCAGGAAGGTTTTGGAATCCTGCTTTAGAAAGGAAGAACGTCCTCCCCCGTATTCCCTATCTTTCAACCCTCTCTGCAGCTGAACTTAAGCAAAATGGTTTTTTGTGCTATATATTTGGCTCACCCGTGTTCTTTCCAAGCAGAAATGACAGTTTTATCAAAAGCACCTGCCGACTCATCTCTGACAACAACAAACATTTGTTTCTGATTAGTGTTGGCTGTTTTGATTTAAGAGGACACATGAGTGTTTTGAAAATGGATCCTGGGCTGTCATCTTGTAGTTTTTCTAGAAATTTCTGAGCACAATTTTCCCATGAGATTCTCCTGTTGGATGCCAGCTCCAACCTGGCATGCAGTGGCAATTTGCATCCATTCCTATGCATTATCGTAAGGGCAGAGACCAACCCTGGGTCCATGCTTATACCCCAAGGAGCGTCTGGTAAAACCTGCCTTCAGCTGCCCTTGGCCAACAGGAGAAAGAGGTCAGGGCAACTGGCTGATGATGCAACATTAGTGCACCCTTCCCCTACCCATTCAGCCTTTATTGCCAATGCTTTTACAGACACAGGTGGACACTATGGGTCAGAATTCAGTGCTACTCCTGATTTACACCATCAGAGGGTCTGTGCCATTTGGTAGTAAACTCAGAGGGAAAGACCTGTTGGTGTCACTACCAGTCCTTCCTCAAGGTTCACTTTCTCCAGGCCACAGAGAGTAACTGGCATCCAAACTGTACCATAATTTAAACCTCTTGGACCTGAAATCTGGCTCCTCCCTGCTACGTGGCCTCAGGGTCTTACTCTTAGCAGTATTCCAAGAGGAAAATATTTCTTCCTTTCCAACTTTGTGCTCTGTTCAGTTCTTAATGACAGTGAATTTACTCTGTGTCTCTTTGTCCTTGTGTCTTTATAATTGCATCAGAACAAATGAGTAAAACTAGCTAATCGTTACACTTTAAAATCGACCATGTCCAATGGTTTATGGTCAGTTTGGTCACTTAGGTGCCTGCGCTTAAGCACTGGAATGTCTACATCTTAGGTGGCCTGTGACAGGAGGGTCATCCAATTTGAACAGGGTTGGGTATCTAGGGGCCATATAAAAACAGTGGTGTGACCTAAGCACCCTCCACTCCTCTTGTTGAAGCTGGGCCATACAGCATCAAAGTAGACAAGAGCCAGAAGGGGAACAGGCTTTCGTCCGTACCCTAGTGGTAATGGCACCCTGATGAGAGTGGGGGAGGCCTGGGTTCTGGAGTTGCATTAGATAATCATTGGTCATAAAACAGAAATAACCTTGGAAGCAGCATCTGGAAATGGGATCCCCCCAAACCCAAGGAACTGCCTTAACCTGTAGGCTACAAAGTCATTCTTCAGGGACTCATACAATTTGCCAGCCCCAGTCTGGATCATAACGCCATGGGTGGAAGTCAGGCATCCAGGCGATGGAACTGGATTACTTCTGGGCATTCTCAGAAGGCCACACGTATGTGCCTGGGGCACTTTTCAGCCCAAAACAGAAGCATGGCATGAACTTAAGTGCTTCCTGAGTTTTGTGGCTTACAGAACAGGGTCAGTTTAAATCACTCAGTGGAACTCAAGTTTTTAAATCACTCATTGGGACTAAATTTTGCCTAAGTCCTGCTTAAGCAGCTGCATGCATAACTGGATCTGGCCTTTAAAACATACTGGTTTCTTTTCTTCTATGAACACTATTACCTCATTACCTATTACTAAGTACCTCATTGTATTTTAATATAAGAGAGCAGATTTAGGCTAGATATCAGGGAAAACTTCTTCATGGTAAGGGTGGCCAAAATTTGGAGTGGGTTTCCAAGGGAGGTGGTGCTCTTCCCTACCTTGGGGGTCTTTAAGAGACACCTGGATAGTTATCTGGCTGGGGTCATCTGACCCCAGCCCTCTTTCCTGCCTAGGCAGGGGGTCGAACTCGATGATTTGTTGAAGTCTCTTACGACCCTAGCATCTATGAATCTATGAATAAGATGTATTAATAAATAAAGCTCTGTTATTTCCATAGAGCTTTCCACATTCTGGTTTCCACTACCTCAGAACTTCCCATCTGCTGGGGATGACTTCTGGGATATAGTTTTTAGCAAGATGGCTTAGCAAATGGTTTGGACCCTGTGTTTCCCTGGGGGAAAAGAAAACAATGCAACTGAATTACTGATGCTGGGCACATAATGACTTTAAATCATACAAAGATGATAGCGAGGTTTTATTTTAGGATTGCATTTTGTTGGAGGATATTTTTAAAAATGGTGTCTCTCTTCCTTTTTTTTCCTTCCAAAATTTCCCATTTACATATGAGTCTAAATTTAGCTTGACTGCAATGAAACCTGAGAAGACTTGAAGGGAAGCTGTCAATGGGTTCATTTCAAAATCTTTTAAAATAGTTTAAAATTGAATTAGTAACTCTGAAAAATGTTGAAGTGACAGCTCTATGGTCTCTGGCCATTTATCTATAGAGCAGGGAGTTCCCTGACCCGGAGGGACCTACGTTTGGAGGGAGAACCTAGCTCCCCTCCAATTCATTCTTTACCATCTGTCAACAACAGTCAACAGGGAAGGTGTTTGATAGTGATGGCTCCATGTCCGGCCTAAAGGAGTAATCTGTAGATCAGTTATCCAAGTTTCTGTGGCAAGGTGTGGTTTTAATTAGCTCATCTTTTTGAGATGCTATATCATCTAGCAGTGCCTGGTAAGAATCTTAAATAGATGAAAGTCACAGTTGCTCAAGGGTAGTGGGGCTGATCCTCTGTGATTAAAATAGTTTTTAACCTGGGGTATGTTCTTCCTGTTTCTTTCCATCTAATATAGATACTTAATACTTAAAGAGTTCACCCTGGGGTTGGTTGGTTTGTTTTAGTGCTAATGTCAGAACAACTCTGGGGATGTCCTTCATCCTCTTGCTCTGCCTTCAGCACGTCCACTCATGGAAGGACCAGCAATGGTGTTATGGAAGCACCAGCAATGGTGTTAATCTGCATTTCCTGGGTGGGCCTTGGGAAACAAGCTCCTCTCATTGCCATTGACCTGTCCCTTGGGCTGTCCATTGCCACAACATCTGTGTGCACATGAGCAAAAGAATGCCCAGGGTTTGTCTCTTCAATACTGTATAGGGAGTCATGAAAAATATGACTCTATGGTACCGGATCCTATGTACGCTTGGTACAATGACATATCAGCTTAATAACCTTATAAGTTAAGTCCTTAGCCCACTATCCCCTAGTCATCCAAACATTGAAATAGCAGCTTATCCACAGGTATAGCTTAGTCCTGGGTAACCCTGCAAATTTAAAAGTAAGGCTATACTTTTCTTGCCCAATTGCCACTCATGCTACAGAGAGGTTTGGTCTTGAGCACTCAGTGCTCTGTCGTAGATTGTCTACAGACATTTTCCTGAATATGATTACGTTTCATGGAAAACCCACTGATAGATGTTGTTTATTCATTTGACCAATGAACTCTTTTTCTGCCCTCCTGAGTTTTCTTTTTTCAATGAAGTCTGTCTTGTGTTTCCCTGGCAACTGTAAGTGTAACTGGTGGAAATCACCAGTGCAAGAGCTGACCACCCTGTCTGTGTTTTAGTGCTCAGAAAGTTTGAGAGAGTCCCTACATCCAAAATTATCTACAGCATGGAGGATGCTGAAGTTTTTCGATCTAAGACAGTCCAAGGAGACCTTCAGAGTCCTTTCTGGCAGTGTATTTCAGGTGAGAGGTGGCTGAATGTGTGCAGCCTTCACTTGCGACTCCCAAAGATGATTATTTCCACGCACTAAATTTACTGCTATACTCTTAGATAAGCTTTACCTGTCTGGCTGTTCAGCAGCAGATATGCCATGAGCAAATGATACCAGCTTTTGGTTACTTTCCTGGTATATCAGGGGAGGGAGGTCTTTTTTCTGGGAACATGTTTTCTTTCATCATATTCCATAAGACAAGTCAACACTGGTATGCCTTCCAAAAGTGTAGGCACCCTTTGTTTTTGTTAAATCCCTCATTTGCACTGGAAACTGGTCTGCTTTGTGGTAATGCGTTTTTCTGAGTTCAGATTATCCTGTAACTGTCTTTTAGGTCTCTTGCACCCCTTTATGATGCATTTGGCACCAGACACTTTTGGAGATAGACTACTAGGTTATATAGATTTTAGGAACTGGGCACTGTAAGAGGAAGGGTACCAAGCTGGCTAGAGATTTGATTGAGTGGCAACTCCTGTTTCTCCTACAAACTGTACTGATTTTATTTACCAGATGTTTTAAAACTTATTTAACTACTGTATTGTACATTGTTGCAAAGCCCTATCTGAAGAATGAAACCAGTTTAAACTGATGTTACCAACTGAAGCTAATTATAAACCAGGTGTAAGCTGATTTAAATGTGTCCACACCTTTGCACCAGTTAACAAAACTGATTTAAAAACCTGTGCGAGAGGCAAGGATTTTCTGGGATATTTTTCAGTGGACAAACTGTATAATCGGGAGAGATGCTGGACAAGCTTTCAAACATCAAATGCTCTTCCACAGGTCTGGCTGGACATGAGGGACAGGTACAGTTGTCCAATAAAAGATATCACAAAAAATTCTTTCCTCCAATACATTTCCCAGACCATCATGGCAACAACAGCACTCTGACCCTACTTAAAAACCTGTATTAAAAAAAAAGGCAAGTCAAAGCTAAGATTAGATCAAAGAGTGACCAGTCACTAACAGTCAACGCCCTCCCCTTTCCCACCTGGACAGTCCCACTGACTTAGGAAGCACCACTCAGGGTGGCCATTATACTCAGGACCTACTTTGATTTCACCACAAATCCCTCCATGCATTGCCCAGCTGCAAATGCACAGAATTGTGTAATTATATATATATATTTATGCTTTCAGACTGTGTGAAAGAAGAGTCATGCGGTTTTGTCACAGTATCTACTACAGGCTCTAAAGTGCTGTGTGAACTATACAGAGCTGTTGAAACCAATTTCAACTGTACAACATCTGGACTGGTAAAAACAATGTTCTTGCTACTAATAACCGGGAGGGTGCCTGAGATCCCATTTTAGACCTCATTTAGATAAAACGACAAGGCATTTACTCGTTTCCCTAGTCAGTGGGCTCATGTATAATGCTGGTGAAGTGTTGATGGATGAGCAAAGATGCTATGGTTAAGACTTTCCAAATGTGATTTTGGATAATTTGCCTTTTAGTTGAACATCTTAACGTTGAGTTTTAGAAAGTGCCAGCAGCTCACATTCTACAGTGTGTCTTTTTAAGAGTATGAATATGGGCATCCAAAATAGCTAGTTATTTTTGAATCACTGGTTTACTTCTGGACATGTTGGCTGTTGCATTATGCTAGTAATTCCTACGTAATTTCCGCATCCCTGCGGTGATTAATATTTTATCCTTGTTGTAGCACAGTGACACTAAAACAGGGAATAAGATGAATCAACATGCCCAAGGTGTCATGGTGAGTCAGTGGCAGTCAGGGACAAGTCAAGGTAGATATACATCATATATTCTAGCTAAATAAGATATATATGGAGCAAAAGCTTTTGTGAACTCAAGTTCATTTCATCAGATGCTGTGAAAGGACAGCATAGGACAGCATATAAGGTGGAGTGAATGATTTCAGTGCAAAACATGGGAAAAGAAGAGGGCGAGGAAGGAGAGGGGAGATGGGGGAAGAACAGAATGTGGCCTGGCTAGTCTCACGCTCTCATGCAGTGTTTGCCACTGTTGAACATAGAAAAAGGCTAATCACCCTGCCTTTTCCTGGAAGGTATTTGCTCCCATGTGTTCCTTCACTGCAGCTTTACCCACATCCATCACAAATTCCCATTTTTCAAAAATGCCGCTGAAGCAAATTACGGTTTTAGTTACCATCTCCTCATCCATTTCATGGGTGTTTTGCCACTTACCTTTGGTAGTTCCCTACTTACAAAACTACTATGATTTCCAAAGCAACAAGGTAGCATTCACTAACCCAGCCTGAAGGGCTCTGAACAGATAGCAGAACTACGGGCTTGTGGATTTGGGGCTGTTATGACATGAGTACGAATTACTATGCCTGTGCAAAGCGGCTAGTATTCACTTCGGATTTGGCCAGTTTGGGAGACAGTGATTCAATTAGTTGATTTGAATCACTGTCCTGAATTGCTTTGGCTGAATCTGATTCGGAGATTCGGCTGCTGCCGAATCTCCAAATCAGCCAGGTCCATCCCTCCCCCCAGCCTGGCAATGGCTGCCCCGCTTGCCCCAGTTCCTGGCGCTTGTTAAAAAGCCCTGACTCAGCGGGTGCTGCCGGGTACGGGGGGTGATCCCTGCTGCCCTCCACTGCCCCATGCTGCATGGGGGGCTCTCCCACGAGCTCCCTGAGGCTGCTGCAGGAGCGGAGAGTCCTGGGGCTTTTCTCTGTTTTTTTTTTGTTTTGTTTGTTTTTTTTCTTAAAGGGCCGGAGCCACGGCCAGCGGGGCAGCCATTGTGGGGGGGGGGGGGGAGGGATCTCGTGGCGCACCCACCGGACGGCGGGGAGGGCAGTGGGGGGGGAGGGCAGCAGGGATTGCTCCCCTGCCCAGTAGCACCCAGTGAGCACCAGGGCTTTTCTTAGGGCAGTGGGGGGGGAGGGCAGCAGGGATTGCTCCCCTGCCCAGTAGCACCCAGTGAGCACCAGGGCTTTTCTTTAAAGCCCCAGCCCCTAGTACTTGCCAGCTCAGAGTTGGCTGCAGCTCCCTGCTGCAGCCACCGGGGACTGCCCAAATCATCAAAGCTCTCTGAATCTTTTCCGAAGATTTGGAGAGCTTTTAAATGATTTGGACCTTTTAATTGGTCCCCTAATTCAGTTCGGTTTCGGAGATTCAGCCACTGAATTGGGCCAAATCTCCTCTGAATCGGATCACCACCAGAAGCTTCGCACAGCCCTAGTAATTACCGTATCATCCTTCTCAGTTTCCATCTAAAAATGGAAAATGCAACCCAGCACTATACCTAGTCTCCTGGTGGCCCTGGGTGAACTTTTAGCATCGGGCCCTCCTTCACCATGTATAATGATGATTATTATTATTTTCACCATTTTTGGGCCCCCTTTAATGTCCGGGCCAGTTCACCTATGCCTGTGTCCGACCCTAATGCAACCTAATCTTTTCCTTGCTGTGAATTAAAAGGCACTGAGAGTGTGTGTTTATCCTTCTCAGATGCAAGGTGCTTTGGGAAACTCTGCTGCTTCTAGTATTGCTCATCTTAGCTGCCTACTTAAAATCAGAAACCAGGAGAAGGATGAAGTGGCCATATACCTGAAAAAAGGTATGTAGCATGCATGAGATGATAGCTTAGCTGCCAAAACAAGCAAAAATCTGAATTTGTAATTCTTTGGATAGTTATATCTTAACTCTCTATGGAGAATCTGCTTGAGATTATTTGGATCTGGAGGCATAATTTATTTCAGGGTCAAGCACTGAATAGTATTGTGATATCCCCAGTAAGTCTCTCCATCTTTGTCAGTCCCCTAGAAATAAGGAATAAAGGTTTTTTAAGCCATTAGTTATTTTCTTGTAGTGTGAGTACATATAAGGAGCTTGAGTGACTGAGTAGGATTTTATGGGACATTAAGTTCTTGTGATAGTATTTCATCATTGGTCCTTGCAGCTGTAGTGTTTTAATGAGTGTGAGGGTGGCAGGAGGGAGCAAATGAGAACAGCAAGGCATTGATCAGCTGGAGTCTTTACTCTGATTTCTGTACCTTTCTATACTGTATTTAAAATGCCACAATGTTCATCTTTACTTTGGGCCAGAATTTCTGCCTTTTTTATTAATCGCAAAAACCTGTCTCAACATTTTAAAGACTTTCTTTAAAATGGAAATTGCCTTAATTTTCTTTCCCCTTAAAGCTGGAAGTCATTCAAGTTAAATAAATTGAAAAAAATCATATTTACTTTTCACCCTTTGTGCCCATTTAAAGTATCTGCTAGTTTATTTGACCTTGGTAGAAGTACTAGGCTGCTCAGTTTTACTTTCAGTTTATAATCTTTCAGTTTTGGATTATCAGGCACTCCCCCACTTTTCAACACTTCTGTCCAGAATCAAAATAAAACCCATCAAAATATATTTGCTATCATGATAACATTTTTAGCTGGATTAGATTTAGTACTTCCATTTTTTTTAATCGTAGTAAAATGTTGGGGCCTACAACTAAAAGTCCTGTATCTGATAAGCAGGGATCCTGGTTTTCTCTGCTTAGAAAAAAAAATAAATATAAAAATCCCCAATTTTTAGATTAAAAAAGTAACCCAAAATCCACATTTTTCTGTGATTAAAATTAAACACCACTAATATATAGATATATACATACGGTGGTGTTTCATTTTAATCAAGGAAAATTGTGGATTTGGGGTTACTTTTTAAATCTGAAAATTGGGGATTTTTTTTATCAGAGAAAACCAGGATCCCTGCTGATAAATCATTTCATCAGGTCTGAGGTAGAACTAAACCTACCGTAACTTATTACAGACCAACATGTATGTTATTTGATTGTTTTCAGTCATTTTGCACTGAATTGTCTTACCATTGCTCTCAACGAGAGCTTTGTTGCTCCTTAAATAGCTGCATTGCACCATAAATAAATCCTATTAAAATCAAGTTACCTTTCATCCCTTCACACTGCTCTGTTTCTTTTGTGTTTTTCAGTCATGTGGCTTCTCACTTCTTGAGGTTAGGGTTTTCTCCAACTCCAGAGCTCAAAACAAAATAACTGATATGGCAGGGTTTTACCAGATGTGTGTCAAAAACCTCCGTTTCCACAGGTTTCATTTGTCCCATAGCAGAAGCCATCAAATGAGCCTAGGTTTCTCAAAACTAATTTCTCATCTGAAACTTAGTAGATGTTTCTATCTTTTTAGGGTTTCATACTCTCACCATGAACCTAAGGCGTAAATCTATCTTATAGGCTTCTGATTACATAGTTATTTCACAGAGCACATGATTGCTGACCAATTATACTGAGCTTCATAGATTCATAGATGTAGGGTTGGAAGGGACCTAAGTAGATCATCAAGTCTGACCCTGTGCCCTGGGCAGGAGAGAAAACTGGGCTCATATGACCCCAGCTATGTGATTATCTAGCCTCCTCTTAAAGACCCCCAGGGTAGGAGCCAGCATGGGAGGTTGTTCCCAGCCCCGACCCGCCATGACTGTGAAGTAGTGTCTTCTAATGTCCAGCCTGAATCTACTCTCAAACAACTTGTGGCCGTTATTCCTTGTTATTCCAGGACATGCTCAGGTGAGCAAGGTCTCTCCCATTCCCCGCTGGTCCACTCTGGTAAGTTTGTAAATGGTCACCAGGTCCCCTCTCAGCCTTCTCTTGTGGAGGCTGAACAGGTTCAGGTCCCATAGCCTCTCCTCATAGGGCCTGCCCTGCTGTCCCTGGATCATGCGAGTGGCCCTCCTTTGCACCCTCTCAATGCTGTCCACATCCCTCCCGAAGTGCGGTGCCCAGAACTGGAGGCAGTACTCCAACTGCGACCTGACCAGTGTTGCATAGAGGGGGATCATCACCTCCTTGCACCTGCTCGTGATACATCTGTGGATGCATGACAAGGTGCGGTTGGCCTTCCCGACCGCGTCGTCACATTGGTGGCCTATGTTCATTTTGGAATCGATAATGACTCCAAGATCTCTTTCTGCCACTGTGCTTTCGAGAAGGGCTGATGGTTGTGTGGTAGAGTTTCTGCCTACCATGTGGGAGATCTGAGTTCAAGTCTCAGCTGGGGTGAGTGAAGTAACAGAGAGAAATCCTTGTTCAATACTGACAAGTGCAGGGTGCTGCACTTGGGTAATAGGAACCAGCAGCACACTTAAGCTGGGAAACTCCCTTCTTGGGACCACTGTGGCAGGAAGAGATCTTAGAGTCATTATTGACTCAAAGATGAACATGGGCCAACAATGCGAGGTCAGTCAGTAGGGCTAACTACATTGTCATGCATCTCAAGCAGGGCCAAGGTCAGGTCAGGCTGGAGTACTGTGTTCAGTTCTGGGTGCCGCACTTGAGGAGGGATGTGGACAGCATGGAGAGGGTCCAGAGGAGGGCCACCTGCATGATCTGGGGACAGCAGGGCAGGCCCTCATGAGGAGAGGCTATAAGACCTGAACCTGTTCAGCCTTCACAAGAGAAGGCTGAAGGGGGACCCGGTGGTGGTCTATAAACTCACTAAGGGGTACGAGCAGGGTTTGGGACAGACCTTGTTCCCCCTAGTGCCCCCTGGGGTAACAAGGAATAACAGCCACAAGTTGTTGGAGAGTAGGTTTAGACTAGACATCTGAAGGCACAGTCACAGTCAGGGCAGCTAGGATCTGGAACCAACTTCCAAGCCTCCTATCCTATCCTCCTTTAAGAGGAGACTTGACGTCTACCTGGCTGGGGTCATTTGAGCCCAGTTTTCTCTCCTGCCCATGGCAGGGGGCTGGACCTGATGATCTACAAGGTCCCTTCCAACCCTACTTCTATGAATCTATGAAGGGAGTTCCCCAGCCTGTAGATCTGCTGCTGATTCTTACTGCCTAAGTGCAGCACCCTGCACTTGTCAGTATTGAATCCCATCCTATTCTCATTTGCCCACCCCTGTAACCTGTTCAGGTCCAGTTGTATCCTGTCCCTCCCTTCTAGCATGCCCACCGTGCCCCAAATCTTGGTGTCATCAGCGAATTTGAACAAGGTGTTTTTCACCCCCTCGTCCAAGTCGCTAATAAAGAGATTAAACAATGCGGGCCCAAGGACTGAGCCCTGGGGGACCCCACTGCCCACGTCCCTCCAGGTCAAATATGACCCGTCCACCACCACTCTCTGGATGCGGCCCCTCAGCCTATTTGCAACCCATCTGACTGTGTAGGCATCAATGCCACAGTCGCCTAGCTTTTTAATGAGAATGGGGTGGGAGACAGTGTCAAAGGCCTTCCTGAAGTCCAGAAAGACTACATCCACTGCTACCCCTGTGTCTAAGGATTTGGTGACCTGGTCATAGAAGGCCACGAGGTTGGTCTGACAGGACCTGCCTCTAATGAACCCATGTTGGTTGCCCCTGAGCATCATCCCCGATGCTGGTCCTTTCCAGATGTGCTCCTGGATAATCTTCTCAAAGAGCTTCCCCAGGATCGAAGTAAGACTAACGGGCCTATAGTTGCCTGGGTCCTCCCCCCTCTCTTTTTGAAGATGGGGACCACATTGGCCTTCTTCCAGTCATCCGGCACCTGGCCAGAGCACCATGAATGCTTGTAAAGCTATGCCAGGGGCCCCTTGATAACCCCTGCCAATTCCCTCAGCACCCGGTGGTGGAGAGCATCTGGATTTGCTGAGTTGAACACATCCAACCCTTACAGAAGTTCCCTAATTTGGTCTTCCCTGACCCTAGGCCTGGCAGAGTCTGTCCTGCATCCATCCTGAATCTCAGTGGGAGAGTCCCAGTCCCTGCACAAAAGAATGGAGGCAAAGAAATTGTTAAAAAGGTCTGCCGTTTCCTCTGATGCAACCACCAGATTGCCAAGCGTATCTCGCAGGGGCCCCACATTACCTGGTGCTTTCTTCATACTCCTTATGTATTTAAAAAAGGACTTTTTGTTGTCCTTGATGCTAGCCCTAGTTCCATGTCTGCCTTAGCTTTCCTGACCGCCCCCGCTACAGACTCGAGTGATGGAGGTATACTCCTTTTTGGTGATAGCCCCTCCCTTCCTCTGGATGTACGCCTTTTTTTGGCTTTCAGGCTTTCCTGAATGCCCTTGGTGAGCCAGGGGGCCTTTTGAGCACTCTTTTCCCCCTTTTGATTCTCATTGGGACTGTCACTCCTTGGGCTCAGAGGATAGTCTCCTTAAGGAACAACCACTCATCTTGGACACCCAGTTCCCCAACTCTCCAGGACCCCAGTGCCTCTCCTACTAATCTCCTCAACTCGTTGAAGTTGGCCCTCTTGAAGTCAAGGGCTGCTGCCTTGCTGCAGGCCCTTGACACCCTGCACTGGATGGGGAATTCAGCATCTGTGAGAAGTTTGAGAGCTGAGTATAGAAGCGGTTATATTGACTATTCATATACAAAGCGTGTGTGTATACATATATTTGATTTCAGTTAAAGTGCAGCAATATGTATATATGTACGTGTATAAAATGATTGCAGTTAAAGTGCAGCAGAGCACGTTGTTGTACAAGTACGAAGTGCAGCTTTGTCAGTACAGCTGTCTGCACTGTAAGCACTTTGGTGGTATAGCACATTGGTATCCCTGTATCAACCAGGCATTTTTAATATCACGACAAACTGAAGTCTGAAGACCAGCTGACAAATTCATAATGAGTTTCAGGTTTGTAATGAAACATCAAGTCCAGGAAGATTTTACTTTGATTGGATTTTTGTTATAAAACTTCCAGCCAGCTCTGATCCATAGCTATGCTGAGACTATTTCTTTCCCTCTTGCACTCTTTGGAACATGCCTTTCTTTTTCCCCTCTCTTCACAGGACAAGAATTCACCACATCCGGCCTCAAGACCTTTGAGATGACTGATTTTCAGAATGTATTTTCAGGCATATACAGCTCTATGGTTCTCTCGGCAGCTAGTACATCTTTGACGGATGTTCATCTCCTCTGCCGTCAGGCCTGCAGCCAGGATCCTTGCTGTGATGGCTTCATCCTGAGCCAGATCACACTTCATGGAGGTAACAGCGTTCAAGCTGTGATGGTAGAAAAGCACTCCAGTGTCACAGTGGATTTTAGCAAAGTAAACCACTGCATTGAGTTCATTCCAGTGTGGGAGGCCAGCAGGCACCTGTGGGACTCAAGTGTTATCGAGGCCTGTCCATAGAGTTCCCTATGGGAATCAGTCTCACCCTGTTATGTTGCTTATACTTGAAGCCAAGCAGGAATGTCTAATATTGGACACTAATGTGAACCTCTATATAGTTTATATCTTTTAAATGCTTTGCACAAAAATAAGGCTTGCCAATAACTTGGACAGAAGTGAATACTTGTTAATTCATAGGGAAAAAATGTAATAGGAAAAGTATGTTCCAAATATAATCTGATTTCATTTTTTTTATACACAATAGGAGAAGGACACGTTTAGCTGGGCTTTCTGTCAGATTAGGGTTTAGATGGTCAGGCTCTGGCGTCAAAGTGGAATCTGCTGGTGCTGCGAGGCAGGAGCTAGTGTAAAATGTCCAACTGGTGTTTCAGAGGTCATTGAAATGGTAGAAACATTCTTGACTGCCCTTCCCTGCATGCTGTGTCTTCCCTTGCCTTGTCCACATCCACTGAGTTCTTGCCCCTCTTCCATCTTTCCTTCCTTCTCTTCATTCATCTGCATTATACATAATTTACCTTGCTAATATATATATATATATATATATAATTAAAAAATAATTCTAGCCTTACACATCAAAAACAAACACCCCCACCCCTCAATTCATCAAGCAAGGCTCAGATGGTGCCAGCCTTCCTCATGTTGGCTTGCTCCTTATTTTCTACCTTCAGTGGGCAGTCTCCATATCTGCCTCCCCAGTGCTCTTGAGAGGCCTGCCAGGACATAACCCCTCACACTCCTCCTTCCCCTTCTCACATGCCAAACCCTACTTTCCCATCATTGATTATCCAGATAATGTCATGGAGGATATTGGCTTCATTTAGCACCCAGGTATTTATTAGAAAGTACGAGACTCCCTTCTTGAGTTAAATGCATATTTTATAAGCTTCATGTGAAAGTTCAGGGCTTTGCAAGTCTTTGGATATATTTTTCCTTGTGCTCTAAATATGGAAAAATGTTAGTGTACTGTGAAAAAATGTGTGAAAATAGTTTTAAGAGGAATGTTGGCTAGCCTTTTAGGTGCCGTTTTTCTGGTAAGTGTAATTCTTGTGAAAGAGTTATGTATGTTGCACACAAAGTCTAAGCTACTGATGAAGGACAATTAGTCGAGAGTATCTTTACCAGGACTATTTTCCCCCCACATTTTGCATGTAACTTTGACATTTCCAACTCCTCTTAAAATACTTACATTTGTATTTATGCAGTATGCCTATATTTCCTCCCTTTCTGGATTGCTACCCTGATGTTTGGTTTTAATTTCTGTTTCCTAAATTAAATTTCATCACATGTTTCATTGCTTAGGCTTTTGGCTCATCTGATTTTAAAATCCTGAATAATGATGAAGAACAGAGGACAGTGTTCTGTTATGATCCAGGCAACAGGGCAGCAGCATAATGAGCCTTACTTACCAGCTACTGCGTCACTTTGTTGCAATTCTAATGAAGCTAATGATCCCATTTCTGTTTAGTATAAAGCTCACTGGGAAATGTATTTTCCATCTTACAGAGTTTTATGAGATGTCAAACATTTTCCCACTCCTCATCACTGTCAGGATGAAACCAAGCCCTTTTTGAAAGTTTTGCACATAAGATGAGGAAGACAATAGCTAATAGCTTAATAGGAAGCAAGAGGTCCAGGCTCAAGTCTGTTCTCAAGTCTGCTTGTACTCAGGCAGGCATATGAGTCTAAAACATCCCAGATGAGGGCACTGAAAACAGCTTTGTGGCTGTTCTGAGATGTGTCTTCTCTTGTTCTATCCAGTTTTGACCAAGGATTTCCTGGGTTTCAGAATAAAACTTTCCCAGTGAGAGGTTTGTGGATGCTGGTATTTTCCCATGTAGACTTTAGGTTTGGATTATTTGGATTTTTCTGATGAAAAACCAAATCAGCAAGAAAATCTGACTGGCTCTAGTTTAGTCTGTTTTACAGGCATGCCCAGAAATATGTGGATGCTATTTTGTTTAAAAAATTACAGAATTTGTTAGGATTCTTTACATACAGTGAATGCCAGAAAGGATTTTAAGACCACATAAATGTCCGAGTCATGACAGCAGTTACAAAGCAAGAGTACAATGTGAATAGATGTTATAGCAGTGGATTGAGAGCCAGACCTCATGGGTTTTAAGCTTAGTTTTGCCACTGACTCATATTATGACTCAGGGGAAGACTGAGTCCTAACCTGACTTAAATCAGGCACAAGTCCAGCAAAACTTTTAAAGAAAAACTGAAGTGGTCTGCTGGGTCAAGGCCCAAAAGGCTGCAAGATGTCTAAGGCAGGAACTGTTTCTCTCTGTCTGTGCTGACAAAAGGCAAAATAAATTAGCCCAGGGATGTGGGCCACAAGTGACATGAGCAGCCTCTGTGTGGCAGGCAGCAGGGACCAGAGAACATAACAGATCAGGTAAGGAGCAGAAAGCAGAGTAACAGATCCGGCAGGAAGCAGAAAGCAGAGTAACAGATTGGGATGGGGAAGGGGATCAAAGTGGCACTTGGGGAGGATGGAGGACTTGCCTTGTGGTACGCCTGCCAGAAATGTTGTCCTCCACTGAGTTAGTCTGATCATTTCACTTGCCCAAAACGTTAAAAAATCTCTATGCTATGTGATAGTCTATAGTGACATACCCTTGACCTCCTGTGGAGTACTTAGCATTGTTGTTCGTGTTTGACATTACTGGGCACCCAGCTCCAAGAAGCGGGCTTGTGTATGAATTTAGATATCTTATTTTAAGGATCCAAAATTCTCATCATTTGACTCCAGGTACTATCCTATGTGGACTGATGAGCTACCCTGATGTACTCATCTGCAATACAAACGACTGGAGTCAAACCTCCATACCTGGAACAGATGGGATATGTAAAGGTGTGAACTATGATGAAAAAGACAAGAAGTTTTCTTTCAGTCTGGGAGGACAAATGTTCACGGGAAGTAAGTCCATAGATTTTCTTATTCTAAACTCTGTTTGTGTGTAATTGCCCATGTTCACTCCTATACACATATAATGGGTGTGGAGTTTGGGCCTCAGGTTTTGAAAATTTAAGCCTCGAAGTTTCACAAATGTCCACTAATTTTGGATGCCTTCAGTTTTAGCCACCAGGCAGGGCCTGCTTTAGAGATGTAGAACACCAATTGTTCCCTATTGCGAGTACTCTGTCTTTCTAAAAACGAGGTCCGTAGCATCTCAGCCTGGATGGCTAAAGTTGCTTCATCCATATTATTGGATATTCATGAAAATATGGATTCTGATACTGCAATAGATCTGTGTTGTAACTGAGCCTAGCTCTATACAACTTCACTGAATTTGGAAAGGTGTCAATAGTGGGCTTTGCTGGCATGAACCCTGGTTCAGAATAAGGACCTTGGGTCTCTTAACCTCTTTGCCAAAGTTATATCTTCTGTAGCAAGGGAATGATCACAGCTGCCTGTCTCATAGCAGTTCTGTGGAAGTCTGTTGATAGGTTTAGGCACCATTTTGAAAATGAAAAGTGCTGTATATCAAATTCTATCTCTGCAACTGCTTAGACAATATTATTGACTCTTACTAACATCCAGATGGGTTCACTGTAAGGATCTAAATAAATATTGGCATTAGCGATATGATTGTGAACATGCATCCGTCTGTCTGAGGTACTTTTATTGTCCCCACTTCCAGGATACTTGAGCACCTCCTGATCATTAACGTATTTATTAGGTCTGTGCAAAGCTTTGGATCATGATTCGGATTTGGAGATGATTCAGATGATTCGGAGGCTGAGTCTATGAATCTGAATCAAATCACGGGAAGCTTTCGGAGCATCCGAATCGATTCGGAAAAGATTTGGAGATTCAGCCAGATGGTATAATAGGGAATCAATGAAATATCTATAACTTTGTTGTCTTTTGGCTGATTCAGATGAACCTTGCAGGGATGGTAGCCTCTGCTGAGAGCATGAAGTTTGCCAAGTTTCAAGGAGATAGGTACTGGGGTTTCTGGGAAACTCCACCCCAAAGTTCTGAAAGCCAAACTTGTGTCATAGTTTCAGAGTTTCATAGTAGCTAGTGTCAGGAGGGACCTGAACAGATCATCTAGCCTGACCCCCTGCCACAGGCAGGAATGAATGCTGGGTTCACAAGACCCCAGACAGGTGATCATCCAACCTCCTCTTGAATTTGCCCAAGGTAGGGGTGAGGACCACTTCCCTGGGAAGCTGGTTCCAGATTTTGGCCACCCTAACTGTAAAATATTGCCTTCTGATCTCTAACCTAAACCTATTCTCCATCAGCGTATTACCATTGTTCCTTGTCACCCCAGGTGGTGCTGGGGAGAAAAGGGCTCTGCCTATGTGCTGCTGATCTCCCCTGATGATTTTGTAGGCAGCCAACAAGTTCCCCCTCAGCCTCCTCTTGCTGAAGCTGAACAGGTTCAGGTCCCTCAGTCTCTCCTCGTAGGGCCTGTCCTGCTGCCCTCTCACCAAGCGGGTGGCTCCTCTGAACCCTCTCCAGGCTGGCCACATCCCTTTTGAAGTGCAGCGCCCAATACTGGACGCAGTACTCCAACTGCGGCCTGACCAAAGTTGCATATTGCGGCCTGACCAAAGTCATGTGCGTGTCAAGCTACAGTGGGGTCCAAACTGCAGGGATGGTAGCCCCTGGTGAGGCCACAAAGCCTACCAGCCATCAAGGAGATCGGTGCAGGGGGGTTCTGGGGCCCTGCATCTCTAGCTGCTGACAGGCAAAACTCGTGACATGGGTGCTTGTGCAACTGTGTCTGTCTTGGGGAATGGGGGTGTGGGGGAACTACTGCAGGCCTAGCTGCTAAGCTACTGTGTTACCAATCAAGCATGATTCACTCAGGGACCAGCTCAATACACAGTAGCTAGCTAGTAGCTACTAGGTAATGAGTTAATGAGCAAGGATTAACACCTACTAAACCACAGGCTATGGAGAGGAAAGAATCAATACAGAGCAGAGACAGTCAGTTGCACAAGCACCCATATCATGAGTTTTGCCTGTCAGCAGCTAGAGATGCAGGGCCCAGAACCCAGAATCCCTGCACCTATCTCCTCGACAGCTGGCAGCTTCGTGCCCTCAGCAGGGGCTAGCGGGCCTGCAGCTTTCACCCCGCTGTGCCTTAACACACACACAGTGTCACCCATGTCATGAGTTTTGCTTGTCTGCAGCTTGAGGTGCAGTTTCCCCCAAACCCCTTTACCTATCTCCTTGAAACTGGGAAGGTTTTGTGGCCTCAGCAGGAGCTACCATCCCTGCAGTTTTGACCTCGCTGTGGCTTAACACACACACACATGACATGAGTTTTGCTGTCAAGAATTTGGGGTGCAGTTTTCCCCAAACCCCTGTACCCATCTCCTTGAAACTTGGCAGCCTTCATGCTCTCAGCAGAAGCTACCATTCCTGTAAGTTTCATCCAAATCAGACAAAAAACAACAAAGTTATAGATATTGTATTGATTCCCCATTATACCCTATGGCCAAATCTCAGCTGAATTGAAGCGGGAAACCGATTCGGAGCTCCAAATCAAATTGCTGGCATCTGAATCAGCCAAATCTGAACCTGAATCGAATAGTTCCCTATTCACACAGGTCTAGTGTTTATCCTCATAGCACCTCTATGACAGAATATGGTAAGGGACAGACAGACTAGGGATCTGTCTTAACCGTTGAGTTAATTCAGGCTCTGACTATGGTATTTCTCCTAATTCAACTCAGATCCACAAACACAACCCTTTCACCTGAGTTTGGCAGTGTTTTAAGCCTGGCTAGGGCATAAACAAGCCTTCAGGTGCTGCTGCTACTCAGGCTGGTAACGAGCTGAGTGGGAAACTTTTTTTTCTTTCCTGGGAACTTTCCTGAAATATCAAACTTATTTTCCACCATAAAGTAGATAAAAGGGTGAGCCTTGACAAAAGTAATGCTCCGAAGTCCTAATATTTACATATTGTGTATTGCATCACCCTGGTATATTACTGTATATTCATATATATTATTAAGATTTGAGAGGATGTACATTCATTCATACAAATAGTATGTGTGTGTGCGTGCACATATGTCTGTGTACATATTAGGTTCAGGTCCGACTAGACACTTAGTTTTCATCATTTTGAAGCATTTTTGATCCAGGTTTAACCTTTCTATTTTTTTAAGATTTTCTTTTTTATAAATTAACTTAAATTTGTAGATGCAAAGTATTTGAAATGTAAAATGCAACTTAGTTTTGAAAATGTTGAAATGGGATATTTCAGTGATTTCAAAACTTTTTTGAGTACAATTAAAGTTGACTCTTT